GGATTTGCTGCGTGTAAGTACAACTCTTGTAGTGCTTCTGGTTTGGCCCACGTGCACTTCAGCCCACCACAGAAGATTAAGTCCCTTGTGCTTTATTCATAAATGTAACTTGAGTTGAGTGTTCATGTTGGGAGTGAAGAGAGAAGGGTGCAGGAAGGATGGAAGGGGTTTGATGGCCCTTATGTGATATATTAAGACAAAAGAACAGAAGCTTCTTTAAAGCCTGTTGTAGTGTTGCTCTTGTGTTGACTTGTGGTGCCAGTTGTACCCTTAATGTAGCTGATGTGTTGGCAGTGTCAGAGAGGAAGGTGCAAGTCCTTTCAATCTGCAATGTGAACGAGGTCTGATTTGTCAGTTGTACTAAATAACTGTTTGGGGGGAGGCTTATAGATGTAGTAAATAGGAGTAGGGTTTGGAAATGTGTAGGTACACTTTCTTCGAAGTGAACCACAGACTTAAGTAATCCATTATTGTATGATACAATAGTTGGGTTAGACTCTTCTGCAAGGTAACTTTTTTCCTTCAGCCCCCTCATTGTATCAGAGCCCTGTTCTGCTCAGCAGAACCAATAAAGCGTGACAAGGAGGTTCAAAAAGCAGCCCTCTCATAGAGAGGGGGAGCACAGTGAAGAGAGGAGATGGGGGTGGGGGGGAGAGTAAGTGATGAAAGTACCTGTTGTGGTTTAAACCCATCCAGCAGCCGGGGGTTGGGGGGGAAAATTGGAGGAGTAAAGTTAAGGTGACTTCTAGGTGGAGATAAAAACACTTTAATAATTGAAATAAAATAGACTAAAAATAGTAGTAACAGTAGAAAATACAAAGTGTAACGCACACTGCGGGTGGTCACCCCCCACCCCTTGATGCCCAGCCCCTTCCCAGCCAGCAATCCCCAAGGAGAGGAGATGCTGAAAGCTCTGTGGTGGGAGCGAGAGCCCTGTGCTCCCCAGCAGCCCCCCACTCCTCGCCAAGCCTGGCCTGGCAGGGTCCGGAATGTTCCAGGGCCTATGGGGGGCTGCTGCTCCGGCCCTGCTCCCCTCCAGTGTCCTCTGCATCCCCACAGCTGTGGGGCCCGGCGAGGCAGCCAACTCCCTGAGTGAGGAAGAACTGAAAGCAGCAGTGGGCTACCAGCGTTCTCCTACCTGATGCCACACTGAGTACAGAACACAACACCATTCGAACCCCTAAAAAAACACTTGCTCTGTCCCAGCCCCAACCAGGCCAGGCTGTGAATAGGGGATGGTTTAGGCAGGTGTGGGTCTGGAGTTGGGGCCGTTCCTCATGTGGGGACAGGAGCGTGTCGCAGCGAGGGCAAAGACAGCAGCAGATCCAAGACTGGTGAAGGGCTGGACTTTCCTTACTGCCTCTGCATAGCGCTGCGGAACTGTTCAGATAAAGCTAGGAAGGTTGAACTTTACATGGGTAATACAAGTAGCAGGAGCCTGACTGTTAGTGCCAGCACCTTTGAATTACATATAAAATTTTATACTTGAGGCATTAAAGCACTCTCTGCTCTCTGGGCTGAGGATGAATCTATCCCGGAGGCAGATGTTATCCATGGGTTGTTTTCAGGGTGCTTTTTAGTTTCTAAGTGGCTGGTGTTGGCCAGTGTCACAATATTTGGCCAGAGGACTGTTTATTATTGCAAATCGGCAATGATGTGTTAGGTGTATAGCTGTTTGACTGGGGTAAAATAAGGAGGGGCCTCAAACCATAAAGAAGCTTATTGGAAAACCAGCTGATGAATTACTTGGGGCTGATCTTGCTAACAAGTGAATTCTGGTTCTTTACATGAACAAAAATATTTGAAAGACTTTATAATCCATAGTCTTTTTAAGTCATAGCTCTTACTTCTTGGTTACAAAAGTTGACTTTTCTGCTAGTGGCCTGCAGTGTTGTATTTTTTTTTATCCTTTATATATAAAACCTAACATCTGCAAATCCCAAATAATTTTAAACAATATCTGTACAACCCCGAAAAGCTGCTCAAGAGTGTTCAACAGTTGGGCAGTGCCCCAGAACTTCTTAGACTAGAGAGATTTCTGTAAGGTGTTACACTTTAAGTCGTAGAGCCGGTCTGCCTTAGTAGTGAGGCTTCACCAAGCTGAGGACGTTGAGATGCAAGAACTGGACAGCTGATGAGTGAGAAGGATCAGTGCTTAATGATTTTCTGCCACCTGGTGGTATTTGATGGTTATGCATGGTTTAGGTATGTACTTGTTTTGCCAATTATTATGCCTAGCATAAAGGACACAGCAAGCATAAAGATGAACCAATAACCCAATTGTATTTGATACAAAAGGGTCAGTACATGGGTGAGCTCTGGGGGTACAAACAAGTCAGTCAGATTATACATAATCGACATCAATCCCACTGACCCCAACAACGACACCGCACAACCAACAATGGGTGGAATAAATGATGAAATGCAGTTTCCCATGGAAGGGACAGGAGACAACCGAGTCAACAAATACATAAGACCAAGGAAGCCACACACTGAATCTCTACACAGCCCACATTTACAAAAGCCAGACCTGACTGGAGCCCAGTCCCAGGGAGGCAGGAGGTCCTTCCCCAACAGGAAACTGCAAAGTGCATCCACCCCACAGACAGACACTGCCCCTTCCTGCAAGCGGTCCCAGCTGTTATCCCTAAGTGGGACACCTGACCTTTGTTTACTTAATGTGGGACACCTGGGGCTCCTTTACCTAATGGCTCTCCCTGCCAGGCCGGCGGCACCCTGGAGGGAAGCTAAAGACAAACTCATCACCCCTTTGTGAAGGGCTGTGGGAATCACCCAGATGTCAACCTTAATTTGGGGCTTGAGGTTGAAACCCCAGCATTTCAGTACTTTGTCACTTGTTTAGGAGAGCTGTGAGAGTTATCTCCTGTGTAATCCTCTGTACCCCTCCTGGTGCAGCACAGGGAGTCACATGTATTTTATATATAAAGGATGTTTTCCTTCAAAAGTATGTAAGAGGGGCATGTTTGCGCTGATGCTGCGGGTGGGTGGAGGATTACAGAGATGGTCCTGCTGATGAGCACTGGCAAACAATTCTGCTGGTGCTGTGCAGACCAAGGAAAAAGGTCCCAGGTCCCTTTCCCCGGTCAGTGGGCTGGCAGGCTGCCAGACCTCTAAAGAACAGGAAAGTATTTCTGTTTTCAGAGCAGTCAGCATACGTGACTCCTCAGGCTTGTGGAGGAAAGGTGGGTTTGCACACAGGACAGAGAGAACTCTCTGCAAATGGAGGTGCTTGGGAGAGGAGGGTAAGTCCTGCTCTGTTCCTCTGAATTTGCACCGGTGTAAAACTGCAGAGTTGGCACCATGGGACAAAAGGTGAGAGGCAGCTTCAAAGGGTTTGTGAGCACCGGTTCTATCCTGCACTGAGATTGATGCTGATTTCTTGGGTTTGAAAATTTCTGGAGGAGACTGAGGGGAGACCTCCTGGCCTTCTCCAACTCCCTGAAAGGAGGGTGCAGAGAGGGGTGGATGAGTCTCTTGAGGCAAGGAACTAGTGCCAGGACAAGAGGGAATGGCCTCAAGCTGCACCAGGGCAGGGTCAGACCGGCTCTTAGGAAGCATTTATTTCCAGAAGGGGTTGTTGGGCGTTGGAATGGGCTGCCCAGGGCAGGGGGGGAGTCCCCATCCCTGGAGGGGTTGAAGTGTCAGGTTGACCCAGCACTGAGGGATCTGGTGGAGTTGGGAACGGTCAGGGTGAGGTTCGTGGTTGGGCTAGAGGAGCTTTGTGGTCTTTTCCAACCTAGACAATTCTGTGATTCTGTGATTTTATGAATAGCTCTTCAATTACTGTCGGCTCCAAGCACTGCCCTTCAAGGATATACCTAGTCCGGTGTCCTGAAACTTAATCAGTTCCAGCAAACTGACCAAAAAATGTTATTTAGTATGTCCTAATAAATGCTGACAAGAGGAGGTTGTCAATGCCTGTGTGGAATGGGTTTATGTTTACTATTAGAAAAAGGATTTCGTTCATTACAGAACCTGTCCCTGAACCTTGGTGCCAAGGCTCAAACATGCTGCGTGCTGCACTGTGGGCTTTTTCCTAGGAAACAGCACAGGGAGGGTCAAAACCATGTGCTGCTCCACTTGGATCTTTCCCTTTTCAAAATACATTGCAGGAGGGTTGTATTTGCTGATAACTCCTTGTAAAGCCACATTTGCTTCATGTTTCCCCTCCTGGTACCAAACAGCTCAGTACCAGTGTTACTCTGTCTCAGGAGAGCTAATTTATTTTTAGAGTACGGGTTGCAAACGTGCTGTCCTGTAGGTTGTACATGGACGTTCCGTGTCCCCAGGGCTGTGGTGATCTGCTGGTAAGTCACTCGGGTTTGCTCATCTTACAAGCAAATCTGGATTGTGCTACGCTAAATGATTTGTGCTCACCCACTATTTATTTTCCATCACAGTCTGTTGATTTTTATTGAATGTCAAAATCAGATCGGCTGATTTTTTAAAAATTATTTGTCCAAATACAATTAATAAAACTATGAAGTGGCACTAGGTGATGACAAGGGCTGTGCAGAGGCAGCACTCAGTTCATTTGGAAATGGGGCAGGGTGGTTGTGTCAGGTGAAACTTTCCCAAGTCTAAATAATAATCGACAGAACTTCCTTGCTTACTCTTCAGAGATCTATAACAGCATTTAAATAAAGCTCACACCAATTATTTGACAGTAAAAACTGACATGCTCAGCTGGCTCTTTTTTGATTGTTGGGTTGTACATGTTAATAAGTAATTATAAAAGATTTTAAAGTCTGATCTCTTCCACCGATTACTTAAACAAATTGATGTAGCAGTGTGGATTTGTAATTACATGTCTCAGGTGGCTACAGTAAGTAAATGTTTAATCTTTTAAACCAGAGAAGGAAGCTGCTACATGTGTACCCTGGTGGTTTGCATTTTTCTAACATGTGGACAGTGTGTGTTCCCACCTTCAGATGTACTAGAACTGAGGATGGGAGCTACAGCTTTACCTGTCAGTAATGCCACTTCTCACTGCAGTAATCTCACAAAACCAGTGAGGATGTGTACTGTTACTCGAGCTGTTCTTCCTTTCAGCTGACATCCACAGCATTTTAAGAAATGCTGGAAACAGCTGAAGAAATTAAGCACCCAGGCCGGAAAGGCTGTTGATCAGTGCCCATGTCTCAGCCCTTTGGGTATGGATGTTTTATCCGGTGGAATAACGAGCACGCTACGAACCCACTAGTGACCCCTCCCGGGACCGTTCCGTGACAAACCCCCACTGCAACACAGCAGCCTGGGCAGGAGGGAGACACAGAAATGCTTTTATTTGACCACAGAGTTCCTAGGCACAACGTTTACCCATTCTTGTGCCTCGCTCCATCTCCTACACATCCTGAGCAGGTCCGTTTTCTGCTCTGACAAGTGGCTCGTTGGTGGTTTTTAAGACAGCTGCTAGCTGATGCCAGAACATTTTCTGTTTGTGTTCCTCCGGGCTCCACTTCAAGTAGGTTTTCCTTTTCAGCAGTTTCCTGAGTTTGCTGAACTTCTGTGGCACGCTGTGGGGTGGGAGGTCTTCCAGCACTATCATGATGAGAGAATCCTGGTTTTCATTCAGGACCCGGTGTTCAGCGAAATACAGTTCATACTGACACCAGCAGCTGTTCACAAAACTGGGAGAGAGGACAAAAAGGACTTTATGGCTGTTCTCTATGCAGTAAAAAATGTTACCAAGTACGGGATGCCCTGGTTTGAAATCCCTCTCGTGGTAACATATCTTGAATCCATCGGCTTCCAGTTTTCTCAGGAGATTCTCTTTTGTCCAGTCAGCATCTTGTTCACTGTATGAAATGAAGGCATCAAAGGGCTTGTTTTCTGGCCTCTTCTCGTACTGCTTTCTCTTCGCCCTGCACCAGTACCACCCCATCCTGATGTACCACAGCCCGTCGAAGTGCCAGCAGAAGCCCGTTATTGCCAAAACCACCAGGGTGGCGGTACCAGCGGTGATGGCAAGCTGGAGGCCCAGGGAGCAGCGCAGCAGCGTCAGGTTGCTGCTCCCCACCAGCAATCCCCTCCTGGATGGGGGGAAGCTGCACCTGAGGTTTTCTTTGCCGTTTATCTGCACACGGGGGTCATGGATATAGACATTTGTGAACCAGTACAAGTCACAGTTACAAAAAAAATGTTTGCCTTGAATGCTCAAAACGCTCAAACTCGTCAACTGGCCAAAAGTGTCCTCCACTATGGTCGTAATGGCATTGTCACTGATGTCTAACTCAACCAGAGAAGCTGGCAGAGAGCCACGCTGGAGGAAGGAGATCTTATTCCCTGACAGGTTAAAATATTTCAGCATCGGAAGAGATTTCCCAAAGTGGTCAGGGAGTTCTGAAATGAGGTTGTGACTGCTGTCCAGATTAGCGAGCGCAGAAAGGTGTCTGGCAGGTTCCAGCCTGGTGATTAGGTTGCCCGAAACATTAAGATACTCGAGTTTCTCCAGGGTGTCGCTTAATGACAATGTGCTCAGCTTATTTTTACTAATATCACATTTCATTAAAGTCGATGGGAAATACTCAGGGTGCACAGCCGCAATTTTATTACTTTGAATATTAAATACGGTTAAGTTGGAGAGAGATTTAAAGGTAGGGGGTATGATTTTAATGTCACTGTTGCTGATGTCAAGATGCTGCAGGGAGGTGGGTAAGTCAGGAAGCACAGAAATCCGGTTGCTGCTGAGATCCAAAAATATTAGTTCTTCCATTGTGCCCACAAACCACTCTGGCAGTTCTACAATAGAGCAGTTGGACATTTTCAGGTATTTGACTCTCTTGGGAAGGCTTTCGATGGGTGTCCCAGCCTGGTTTCTCACCAGGGAAATGGCATTGATACGTACGGTTCCAGGGGGAACCGTTGGGACTGCGTCAGGGCGTACGGTGTAGATGAAGTGATTTCCCTGAACATACATGTGTTCTAAATTAAACATTTTTTTAGCAAAATTAGGGGGTATTTGACTTACATTGGTGAAGGACAAATCGATTACTTTGATGGTTGAAGGGAGACACAGCGTGTCCAAGCTGTTTATGGGATTGTTGCTGATGTTTAAAAACCAAAGCTTGCTGGATGGGAATTTACAGATTGGCCCCACATCTAGAATGTTAATTGTTAATTTGTTGTAACTGGCATCGATGGACTGCACGTTTTTCATTGGCAGAAACAGGATGAACAGCGACAGAAGATCCATTTCCAGGTCGCTGTGACTAATGTCAATCTCCGAAGTACTGTCCAGCTGAACTTGGCAGAGATCTGGGTCCAGTTTTAACGTCAGCTCTTCCTCAGAGAGGTTGCTGTGTGACAGGTTGAGTGTCCCATTTATCGGTGCTGTGCAGAAATCGGGCCCCATTGTGTCTGTTGGAGAGACAGTTACGTTTTTCTCTGCTCTTGGAAGAAGAGTCCCTGTACTTCGTCTGAGCCTGGAATTAACATTTTGCAGGACAGATGGACCTTCTGAGTGTGGCAGCTCCTTGGTGGATGCAGAAGACTCCAGAGCAGCCTCTGAGGATTTCTCAAGATACTTATAAAGCTGCAAAGACCCTGAGGCTTTACTAGTGGGTAAGAGCTTCAAGTGGGGTGGAAGACCCGCTACAACAAGTTCCTTATCATTAAAGGATAAATTCACAGAAATAAGGCTGAGCAGGCTCTCAAACGCACCAGGTTCAATGTCCTTAATCCGATTGTAGGAAAGGTCTAAAACTTCCAGCACATCAAAACCTGCCAAATCTCTCTTGGTTATTTTTTCAATTATGTTATGTGAGCAATTGAGAGCTCTTGCTGTTTTAGGAGCTTGTGCTTCTGAGAGAGAAGAGAGGTTTAAATAGGAACAGTTATAAAATGGGATGACATAGGCTGGGGTTTTTCTCAGAGTCAGGAATGTGTTTGCTCTGCTGAATAAGAAAGAAATGAGGTAGAAATGAAAGCTTCCAACAAGGATCCTCATCCTGGAGAAAAGAAATGTGAAATCCATCATTATAATAGGCTCTATTTTAATGAATGCCCTTAAAAAGCTCCCATCCTGATTTACTTACAGCTAATGAAACAATTTCTGTACTTGCATGTATTAATCCCTTTTTACCTACATAACCCCATTTTCATTATGATTTTCAAAAACGCAATGCTAAAAGATGGTGTTGGATAATGATTGGAAGGAGAGTGTTATTCATTTCAGATCCTTGTAGATAAAGTCTGAATGATGTTTCTCCTGTTTTGTGGTTTGTTGTTTTTTGTTTTGTTTTTTTGTGGGTTTTTTTTAATTGCTCCCCTCCCTCCATCCTCCCAGTGCAGCCTCCGCAATAGCATTTCTCCGTTACGTAATCTGAAACACACTCCCGCAGCTGCTGTCTGGGACTCAGATTTTACATCTTTCATCCTGGGTCACAGCAACCGGGTAGGTCTGGCCCATCCAAAACCTGTTCAGCCACTGCAATAGTGTATTCGAGAGTAACTTGGCAGGCAGCTCCATGTGACTCTGTGACCATGTATCTTCTGTGATCCCACCCCCTTGGTGCTTTGCTCTCTGCTAAGAATTGACCAGAGACCGTTTATTTAGCCTTACCTATTGGAGCAAGGAGAAGAGTAAGCTTGCTTTGGAGTAAGCTATCAGGGGCTTGTATAAGGCAGGCTGTGCCAGGAGAGGTCTCTGCCTGGGCATCATTCATCTTTGGAGGCTTCCCTTTGCCTGCTATCATCACTGCCCGCTTCCTCTCCTGCCCCCACCACTGTTACTACTTTGCTGACACCCCTGGCCCATGTCTTATCTTTATTACCTTCAGGTGTGCAACTACTGTTACCAGAGTCCCCTGTGCTGCCTGCCAGAGAAGGGACCCCAAGGACGTCCCAGCTCCGTGCCCTGGCCCCTGTGCTCCAGCAGAACCCACCAGCCCACCCTGCAACCTGCCCTCATGCCTCAACCCGAGCAGGAATACTCTGCAGCCAGGAGCCCCCCAGGGGTAAGCAAGCCCCTCTGGGCATTACAGAATCACAGAATTGTCTAGGTTAGAAAAGACCACGAAGCTCCGCCAGCCCAACCACGAACCTCACCCTGGCCGTTCCCAACTCTACCAGATCCCTCAGTGCTGGATCAAATCGACCCTTCAACCCCTCCAGGGATGGGGACTCCCCTCCTGCCCTGGGCAGCCCATTCCAACGCCCAACGACCCCTTCTGGAAAGAAATGCTTCCTAAGAGCCGGTCTGACCCTGCCCTGGTGCAGCTTGAGGCCATTCCCTCTTGTCCTGGCACTGGTTCTTTGGCTCAAGAGACTCACCCCCCCTCTCTACACCCTCCTTACAGGGAGTTGGAGAAGGCCATGAGGTCTCCCCTCAGCCTCCCCCAGACTAAACCCCCCCAGTTCCCTCAGCCGCTCCCCATCAGACCTGTGCTCCAGACCCTGCACCAGCTTTGTTGCCCTATTAAAAGCATTGCAGATGTAAGGCTGGAGGACAGCTAACAGCTCCCTCGTACTTGCACTGCCCCTCCCCATCCCTGGTGCCCCCCCGTTTACCTGCTCTCCTCGGTGCCGCTCCCTCGCTGATACCTGCCGCTGCCACCCGCTGCCTTTTATTGCAGCGAGAGGAGCGGGGGGGGGGGGGG